CAGACAACACTTGACTGAACATAAGACCGTAAATGGCAGAACAGGTTCCATTGAAGTAATAGTGCAATAACTACTGGATGAGTTTGGGGATCAACACAGAGGTTTGAGCGACACTACGTATACAAGACTTCAGGGGGAAAGTCATGTGTTGCGTGAAGGCCTCCCACATTCCTTAGCCCCCCCCCCCCCCCCGGCCCCCAACCTTAATCCGACACTGTGAAATCAATGGCACTGTTTCTGAGTGACGAAAAGTAATTTTGGTAGAATTGGTTACAAAACAAGATGTCAAGCCGCCGCATTACATTTTTGACAGGTAGATTTTTGTTCATTTTTAAAGGTACGTTGATCTTTTGTTTTTGTGATTTTCTTCTTCATTTGAAGCAACTCAAAATCACAACTAACTGGAAATTTCAGATCAGTGGATTCAACAATTTCGAGAAAAACTGAGAAAATTATAAATGTATGCACGATTTTTTAGGACTCGTATTTAGCTTACGCACGTAAAGATGTGTGCACGCCGGTGTGGAAGCACAACACCCTATTTTAAAACCACCTTCAGAGTTAGTTTTATTCCAAACGATAACATTTCGGGGGGGGGGGGACGACACAATTTCACAGGATATTTGATGCCAGTCCCATCTTGACTTTGAGCAAGGTTTCATTAAATCGGTTGGTATTTTTTTTCGGGTAATAGCAACTGATCCCACATGGCTTTTAACACATGTTTAGCCACTCTTTGGTATGGCTGATGGCTGAATGAAGAATTATAGGCTTTTGGTTCTTGGCAAAATTGACTGCGTACCATACACACGGCAAGTCATTAAAAGTAATAAATGTTTTTATTTTTAACATGTTTCACACTGTAAATGTAATTTTATCCATTCCACATACGTTGACTTTCTCTTTCTTTCTCTGTAATAAAATTATAACAATCTTCTAGATACACAAAAATTGTCAACAAAGGTCGACTTTCCCTTTCTCCTCGCCTCATTCTTTTATACACAAATAGACTCGAGGTCAAAGGTCAACCAAGCTGACTGCTGACTTATCAACAGAGGGCGTCTCAAATTTCTATCAGCCCCGGCAAAGAACATGATTCTCTTTTCAAGAGTGAATTATCAAATCTCATAGTAGTATTACTTAATACAAAAAAGATCAGTCAATTTGAAATTACCAAAGTGAACACATATAAACATGACAATGAATTCAATTGACTAGGTGCTAAAATTCAAAGACCTTGAAAATAAATACATGCACAACAAAAGGGAACACTATTTGCTTCCTCTAGGAATTCAGCTGTAGTTTTTTTTCTATTGTTTTCTTTAAAAACCACCACAGAGTGGTCTAAAGATGATATGCAGTCACTAACCCATATCTAGTCACTGAGCTACCTTTTTATTGTTCCATGTTTTAAGGGGAGATGTCTTGCTGCTGGAGTTGGAACACAGTGTTCTAAGTCACAGGCAGCACAGTGCACATTGCAGACTTTACTCGACACATAGCAAATAGCATTGCAAAATATTGTCAAAAGAGGGCATACTTCAATGACAACTGCACTCCCCAACTAGAGCATTGCCCAACTATAGTTGGGACGGTCCCAACTATAGTTAGGACTGTTTGGGGCTAGCACCAGCAACACATATTCATGGATAGAATTATTACATCTACAATGACTGGCTGCCAAGTATTGGCTCTGATATGTAACATTTCATTTTCACTGTGAAACTATCTCAGTGTATCAGAATTGAAAACAGTGTGACCCACTTTATATTTACACAAAAAGATTTACTTTTGGTTTCCACATTACTGTCTTCTGGTTTACCTTGAAAATATTGCAACAAAGCACAAGTTGAGGTTCCTAAGTAAAAATGCTGTTCCTTAACCCTTACCCCCGTAGGCCTTTTTGCTAGGATGCATCTTCAATCCTTCAAAATCATCCACTGCCTCCGTGGAAAATCTTGATACAACCTCAATCCTCCATAATCATCCAATATTTCTTGAATATGTTCATTAAAGGGGTGACCACTGCCTCAATCCTGCAAGACCCTGTGCACGTCCGGACAAACACATTTAACAGCTCGCTGTGAGTGGGTCTGTATCTCGGTCCGACTGGGCCTGGGCCAACTACGCACATTGAACCATTTGCCGTATGGCCTCATTCGGAAATACAAATACTCGTACTCATTTTCGTACTCGGAAGTACTCGTACTCGTACTCGGAAGTCCGAGTACTCGGAGACCTGAACTTATACTCGGAGGTACAAGTACAAGTACTCATACTCGGCAACCCAAGTACTGGGCAGTACTCGGTACTCGGAAAAAAGTACTCGACTACATCACTGTGTTCTGAGGATCCCAGATTGGAAATCTGTGGGTTCAAGTCGCACTGGCCAATCAACATGCAGCAACCTGTCAAGTTAGATTAGAAGTCAGTGGTTTTTACGCACTGTGAACAGTGTGCTAAAATTGTACAAATGTGTCATAATATTATATCTTAAGTGCAGAACAGGTGAACCTATTCACCAGTTTCGTCAGTTACTTCAAAGTCTGCAGACCAACTCCACATATCACATACTGTCCAATGATAACATTTTTATTCATAACCTCTTTCCCTAGACCGAACCGATATCCTACATGTGATAAATTATAACTGTCAATATTATAGACAAGAGTTGAGAACACAAACCCCTTTCAAGCTATTTCCCATAAATGTTACACTACAGTTTCATCACTTACACTCTTGAATTGAACATTGTTCACATGTCTGATTACGTTTACGGGAAACATTTCACAAGGCATTATTTAAAATGAAGTTTCAACTAAAAATGTTGAAGAAATGTCCTAATGGTTTTATAGGCAGTAGTTCCCAATTTTGCAAGAGTATGTTATTATGTCTATAACTTTCCTAACTTCACTGAATTACAAGTTTCTAGTTTTCATATGGTGACAAGAATCAAATACCAAAGTTCTGAAAATGTGAGAAAATAATAAAATTCAGGGAAAAAAGTGGAAGTGTGTTCGGTGCAAATTCACGTGTATCTGATGCAATCTGGAATTACCAAGGAAAACTGCAGCAATCGTAAAACATTGTAAAACACATAACCCTTACATTTTTCATAATATCCATTATAGGAGCTACAGTGTTTGCATTTGGTACATAGCATTAACATAAAGTCTGGCGCTATTTGTCACATCAGCTGCATGCACTGGATTTCTGTTAATGTACATGATTTATAACGTAGTGGATATGTTGGTGGGTGTATATCACATAGGTGGTGTAGTTTTGAGGCGGGCAACAGACTGGTTACGAATCAGGCATGTTTGGCTATGGTCATGAATCTATGATGCAGTGTTAGAATAAGAGGGTCATTAATTTATCTTTAAGCACTTTTGAGTCTGCAATGCTGATTTGTGGGTTTCAAAGTAACAGCATTATGATATCCCAAATTGCTATGGTGTATATTACACAACGCTGGATGTACAAGTTGGCTGCATCCGGATTACTGAGCTAGGACTAGCAATAGGGTATCATCGACCCTGATCACAGAATGGCATCACAGAATGGCAAGGACTAGCAATAGGGCAGCATGACATTAAGGAAATAATCTTTTCATCAACACATGCATTTTCACCGGTTGCCATGAGTTACCATTCAGCACTCCAGACTCAAGAACCATTCAGTTTTATGAAAATGGGTCAGGGAACTAGACAATTTAATCAATAATGTAAGAAGCTCCTGTATGTCCGTACTCGCCTATAACACATGTAGTTTATGGAAGTGGCCAACACACCTACAAACGTGAATGTTACTGCCAGTGTCAATTTGTACTCCTTTGAAATCTGGTCTATTTTACCTTAAAAGTACTACAACCCTCATACGTGAATTGTCACTTTTTTAAACTCTGCCCTTTGAGTAATGCACAGTACGACCAATGAGGCCATATTTTATCAGAATCCAAATTTCACACTATGGGCCACAGCCAAGAACACAGCCATACTCACAATATCATTCACTGAGTGTGCAATATCTCCCTCCAACGAAGATCGATGAATGAGTTTGGTTGATGACAAATGTGTAATTTGTATCAAATAGGGGTATGGGTACGGTTTCCATCATGCAAGGCATCTGGGAAGATTGCAGAGCATTATGGGAAGACTGCAGGGTATTGTGGGAAGATTGCAGGGCATTGTGGGAAGATTGCAGGGCATTATGCGAAAGTATGCTATGCTGAATGAACCACTGCTGGTCACTAGGTCTGTTAAGATGCAACGGGCACTTAAGGTTTGAGAACGAAATACATTTTGAGAGCGAATACGGCAATGTGTATTCGTTTTGAGTTTTTTGGCGTTCTTGATATGTTTCATTTCATATGTACTAATTATTGTAACATACCTTAACAATGGCCTTTAGACTGAAGTAGTTTAATCCTCCTAGTCTTCTGCACTTCACAACCCTTCAAGATTTGCAAAACCACTTTTGCCCATAGAGTTAGCGCCCACACTTCCAATTCCTTTGAGGTAATCTGTGCAGTATACACTTCAAATCCCTGCACAAATCTTTGATGTGCTTAAGCTCAAAGCAAGCAGGCAGATTCAGTCATGCTTCACTGCTCTCCACTGTGCTTTTTGTGTGTGCAGTGACTCTCTGTGTGACACAGTTACTTTAACACTTCATCAGATCCCTTCACCTGAAAGTGACCTGCAGGATTTTACATATTGCTCTGAATATTGAATTCCACTAGGAGGTTTAAAAATGCAGTTTTTCCAAGTTTATCTGTTGAAAATAGACTTTCAAAAGTTTCTCGTTAAAAAACCCCAAAATGTTACTTAGAAACATCCACAGCTCCTGTACAGAAAGACCAGCTGAGCCCCAAGACTCGCTAAATAATAATTTCTAATTTTCACAGAACTAATTTTCACAGCCATATTTTAACTTTCCAACTTGGTTTGACTTTTGAAGTCATAAATGGAAGATGAATGATATGCTTTTGTTAGGTAAAGTGTGGTCCCCTCTCTGATATTGTGTTTTTCTGTTTTATTACATCCGGTTAGTAAAATTTTGAGAAATAATTTTGAAAATGTCAAATACACCATAATAAACACAGAGAGCAGCAAAAAAATCAATGTCTTTGAAAAAGACATTGAAAGTTCTTGAAAAATGAAAGGAAGAATGTACATCTACCAAATTAATCAAAATAAATAATGCCCAATTTTAGCCTATTTTCATCCTCTAAAACCGTGCAAGGTCCATAACCAAAATGTGTGCATCAACAGATTAAGATTTTGCAGAATGGTCATGTAATGTGCATTTTTTAAAATTAAAGTTCTGAGGTGTGGAGGAAGGATTTATTTACATGCATCTTGACGATATCGATCGTGAACATTTTTTGGGTCACTATGAAAGATGTCCATGAAAATATCAAGGGAGGAAGCATTTCACAACGACTAGTCACCTAAAAATCAGTCGTGGGATATAATACCCTACCAAACATTTGGCACTTTTGCAGAAAACTACTTACCCGACAATGATAAATAGGATCATCAAAAATAATAATTTACATTTGTTTTTCAAAGAATGGGACAAATATTGCCTCTTTATAAAAGTTGTTATTTTTTTTGGTGAATCTATTCGTGCAAATTAAAGAGAATTTGTTGTCCAAGATACTATTGGGTCTCGTTCACAATTAACTTTTTGAAATATTACTTTAATAACACATCTTGATATATTATTTATGATACCTGACATCCAATGGTTTTTACTTGAAGAACATTTTGAAGAAAAACTGTGATTTCTTCATCTCTTGTTCTTGCTCCATAAGAAAGATGAGGTCTCGGAAGTTGACTCTCTTAATACGTCGGATCTAAGTGGACAAAGAGGGGAAATATGTCACAGTCTGGACATTTATTTTTTTGAAAAATGAATAAAACTGCTGCAAAACAATATAAGAAATATACACTTTAGAGGGCCTGATGTTTTAGACACTAGCAGTGTCTTCCTCACTTTCATTTTTCATTTTTTAGCCTACATTTGGTAAATTAAAGGCATATTATGCGATAGAAGTGTGTTTAAATTGACCAATCCATTTTTTCAAATGCACTAAGTTTGTGTGGTGATGCAAGCACCTGATCAAAGGATGGGTAAACCACAGGACAGTATATAAATGACGTCGGCTATTTAATTAAGAGGCATCTTCAAGACAACGCTTAGTGGCACATTGCAATGGGAATGACTCCTACTGAATTCTGTTCATGTCTAGTACCTGTGATCTGACAGATGGACTCCCTGAGGAACCTCCTGCACCAAGAGACGAGGAACCAGACTGAAACAAAATCCACATACAGTGTTAGTTAACACCAGTTTCAAATCTCAATATATCATAGTAACATAGTTCAGTCTCTAAGGGTTGGTTAAATGAATGCTTTTGACACACTTCACTAGAAGAGCTTGTTACTTGGCCTGAAACTGAGTGACTTGTGATTGACAAGTGATTGACTTGAGCAGACTCGACCACGACTCTCGGTAGAGCTTAGAAAAGATGCTTTTTTCAAGTTTCACCTCGAAAAATAATTTAGTTTTTTTTCAGTTGCTTTTTTCCTAGCAATATAACATTTATTAACCTTTGAATGAGACATCGAACGAAAAACTCCACCCATGTTTAGTTTATTATTTCTTCACAAAATTGTAATTATTGGCGCTCAGATACAGGTAGTTATAGTTTAGTTATAGTTATAGTTTAGGCACTACAGGTAGTTATAGGCAGGGTGGTTTGGGGCGGTATATAGACTATTGGGTTAACCCATAGAGTGCTGGGGTGGTTCAGGCACTACAGGTAGTTATAGGCAGGGTGGTTTGGGGCGGTATATTGACTATTGGGTTAACCCATAGAGTGCTGGGGTGGTTCAGGCACTACAGGTAGTTATAGGCAGGGTGGTTTGGGGCGGTATATTGACTATTGGGTTAACCCATAGAGTGCTGGGGTGGTTCAGGCACTACAGGTAGTTATAGGCAGGGTGGTTTAGGCAATATATTTACTATTGGGTTAAGCCATGGGTCCCTGTAGTGCCTGAAACCTCCCTGCCTATTACTCCCTGTAGCACCCAAAACTGCCCGAGCAGTCAGCAATTTTATGGATCCTTCAGTGAATAAATACAATGCAATACAATGGAGGAGTGTGGCCTGGTGGTTAGGGTTAGTGACACATGATCAGACGGTCCAGAGTTGGAATCCAACTGCATGGTGTTTTGCTTTCTTGGGCAAGCTACTTCACCCCACTTGCCTCTCTCCACCCAGGAGTATAAATGGGTACCAGCATTAGCTGGGGAGTAACCTGCGATGGACCAGCATCCCATCCAGGGGGAGTAGAAATATTCTCAGTTGTTTCATGCCACAGAAAATGAAGATAAACGCCGGCCTGATGGGCCCTACAGAGTACCGAAGTGAATACATCACTCGCACAATTATGTGTGTGAAAGACATTAGCGCGTGATTCAGCCCGTGAACCAACACGCACTCATACTCCATTCATTTGCACTACACTTCCCAGTTCAAAATAACATCACACCTCGGTACTCTATTGGCTCATAACAGACTTTACCAACAATGTAATACAAGTGCTAATGGATTACAGCCTTACCCCTGACGATGAGCCCGGTGTGGGCGAGTCTAATTTCCGTTTCTTCCTTGGCCCGATGGCGGCCAGTGCCGTCATGTTAGCCTCCTGTTGTCGGATCTGTTCCAGCTCCATCTGTTGCATCTCCTTGGCTTTCTGCTTGAGTCGGGCCTGCTCCGGATCCTCCTGTTTTGAGCGACTCTGTGAAAGCCAAATAGAATGTTGCCAACGCTTTTTTGTGCATATCCATTGTCAATGTGGGGAGAAAATGGGCATTGTTGGCATATAAAGAAGACATCTCTGGACTCCCAACAATTGTACTCTCTCATTTGCTTACATTGTTTTTCTTCAAATAAACCAAAAAGGGAACCACATCATGACTTTGGTGCTTAATCCCTGGCTATATGGCAGACAGTGCTTTTGACTAGCACCCTTGAACAAATACATTGACAAATTTGGGAACTGCCAAAATATGGTTGGATAGCTCCGTTGGTAGAGCGCTGGGACGGTAATCCGGAGGTCAAATTTTGTGTTCAACTTGAAAAAAGCCTATTTCTTGGTAAAAAAAGGAAGATGTTATCACGGTACAACAATGTTTCCAAGAATCCTTGCAAAAAGATATGACAGAAGTATGACAGTTTCTGATATTTAAAACTCACTAAACCTTGGTCTGCTGGGCCTGATTTCATGGCCCTACTAATTGAGGAATTTGAATTTTGAGCTCATAATTCCTTGCTTACAGTGCTGGCACAGAAATTCTGTATTAACCCTGTAAGCATTAAAATGTGACACAGGATAGAAGCAGAAATTCCTCGCAAAGCTGTGTTATATTTGGGGCCGAAGCGTTGGGAGTTGGAGGGTTGGGAGAGTAAGAATATTACCTTTGCCGCTCGTAATAGAAGTTCTCGCTCCTGTTCATCTCTCCGCTTTCTTTCCAGCGAATCTAGCTGCTCAAAGAACTTCAGCTGGGACCGTACATCGCTTGTCACTTCGTATCTGGAATCGTTCTGCAGTAGAAAACCACAACACCACAATGTGGTTAAGTACATTGGATATATATGAGCATGCTTAATTTCCCGTCAATTATTTCCCGTCTTCAAATAAACCACAAAGGCACTGCTACACATACCCGATAGACCTCCATCCTATGCCTGGCTATGACTCCAAGTTTTTCCACGAGCCCCTTGAGTCTTTCTTGAGCTGCGTGAGAGACCAACTCCATCATGTCAGTCGATGCCTCTTGGATGCCATGTTTGACACCTGTGGGAGTAATGGTATGTTGTTAAAAAAAGGGTGGTTGAGGTGTTGAAATGGGGTGATTGGGGGACAGGGAGGGTGGGGGGGATGGTAGGGTGGGGGTGGTAGGGTGGGGAAGGGGGATGGTAGGGTTGGGGGGGGGGAGAAAAGTGACTGAGTTGTACAAGTCAACAAATATACTTTCTATGTTAGAGACGAAAGGCCTGAAGCAGCAAATAAAGATTGCATGGCGTTATGGTATGATGTCACTTCAGGAAGAAGAAGAAATTTCAGGGTTTTTTCAACAGTGATCAGACTGAAGGAGCTGGGTTAGCTGCCCCAGTAACCTCCTGGAATGCGCCCTTGCGTACCATATTGCTCTAGATTACATACAAGAATGGTACTGTGTGATCACTCCCGAGTGTTCCATGTGTACACATGCTAGTTTGCGGGGATTTAATGAGAAATACAACCGTGATTTTTATTTCATGGAAAATGTCTTGTTCCCAAGATGAACATTTTCCAGGTCTGATGGTACATGTATCATGTAAAATTCATCTGGACTCCTGATCTTGGCATTATTTTATCTCATTATCCCACTTCAAAGAATTCATTGTAGCATTTAAATTGCACGTCTGTAATATCAAAAGGCATCTGAGACCTGTTTCAGATTGATGTAACCTAGTAAGTCACACAAAACCAAATCGTATTAGGAGCAACTCATGTTGACTCAAATGGATTTTGGTGTCAGATAGGTGAAATTTTCTTTTCCACTGACTAGAGTACAGATTTATTTGAAAATTATTGCAGTAGTTGATTCTTCGACGTAGTCACTCCTAACTATTTAAAAGGTCAAATGTTTCATGACTTAATTCAATTTTGTTTTTGACATATTGGTTAGGCCATGTCTCTGGGATGCAGGTCTCAAATGGATTTGATGGCACTGTTTTACAACCTTCAGACTAAGCTATGGACGGCTACTTACAGATTTCATTGACTCTGGACTGAAGTGGGCCTGAGAAGAGGAACTTTTCCTCCTTGATGGAGCGGAGTTGGGTACCAATGAAGTCAGCATTGGTTGCTAGGATACGAGCGCTCTCTTCCGAGAGATTGACTCCAGCCATGGAGGTGACATCATTGATGTCATCGTCGTCCCTTCAAAGATCAGAATAATTGTCATTATGAAAAAAAGAATTTTGTTGAGGCAATAAAATCACAGACAAAAATGTGTAGTAAGGAGAAGTTTGAAGTAATCGAAGCATCTATCGAGTAATCACTGCATCTGGCCACAGAACCTTGTCTACATTGTATCCACACACTCTATATCAAGTGTGTAGACTTTGCACTCAGTTTTATTCCATATTCAGATCTTGTTACTGTTCGAGGGTTTTGAACTATTTGTTTAAAGCAGAGTTACTTCTTAAATGTAACTTCTTAATAGCTATCGCAAATAGGTTTACATGACACACTAGAATAATGAAGGAATTCAGCTTAAAAAAATCCCAAGATATTTGGAGAAGTAACCTGTTTTTGATCAGCAAATTATTTCTGTGCTTACCACTTATTTCCCAAGCTTATCGGCTCTATATTATTGTCCTCCTTGTTTTGAGGAAAAATATCAAAACCAAGAAACTGAGGCACTTACTTGAATCCCGAGGACGAATGATCTTTAACTTTGTCTTTTTTACTGGAACTAGACGAGGAGCTACTTTTACTGGAGGATTTACTGGAGTGACTTTTGGACTGGCTGGATCGGGATGAACTGGAGTGGCTTGAACTGGAGGACTTACTGGATGAAGTAGTTGCTACCGTCTGATGATGACAAATTAAGAAAGATCTCATCTTAGCAGCAGTTGTATAGGGTTTACAGAGTCTGTGGGCTATTTGGACACTGGTCAAAGAGGGCCTGCCTAAAGACACGTCATCACAGTACACTCACGAACCCCGTTTCAATGGCGAAAGCATTGTTCAAGCTACTGTGAATAGCTACTGCCCCACGACAGCTTACACCATTGAAGGGGGCCTTCATGATAGAAATGACAGCATGCCCGGATTGACTTACTGACTGGATGTCAATTGTGAGCTGGGCAGTTCCATCATATAGGATAAGCCCATAACACCAATAAATGGGCTAAATCCGCCTCATTTTGTAGACTGATGCACAAAAGGCTTCTAGAGAATAGCCATTCTGAATCAACTGAATATTGAATCAACTGAATATTGAATCAATTGAATCAACTGAATAGAATTTTGTGCACCCTGAGACTACCTTTGCTAGGGTTGCTGTGTCTTGTTAGTACACGAATGTATGCTAAAGCACAAAAATTCAAGGTAAATTTGGACGGTAGACACCCAATCTTAAAACTGATGAACATGTTCCCATTAACTTTGTTCAAGAACAAAAGTTTGGCGCAGTGTTTACTCAATATTAGAGCCAAAGTTGTACATTCGCACAAGCAGTTTGCACACAACTGACTTTCATCCGCTGAATCCCACCTGAGCAAGCTGGCTGAGTTTCTATCAAAAGGGGTCCTACTAAACAGTGTCAACAAGCGTCAACAAGCGTCAACGGTCGACAACAAGCATCAACAAATTTTGTATATGCTTTTGAACATTAAAAGTAGCTTTATATGGTAGAAAAGGCAATAAAGAACATCTTCTGCATATCAATTAAAGTTAAAATTATTTTAAAACTTGTTTTTTTGAACGCGAAATGTACGACCAATTTGTTGATTAGTGTTGGCCGCCATTTTGTTCACGTATAGCTTAGCCGTACTACGCATGCGTGAAGTGTACAGAGCCATACTACGCATGCGCGAAGTGTACAGCACCATCCAAACAAGATGGCGACCAACACTAATCGACAAATTCGTCGTACATTTCGCGTTAAAAAAACCAAGTTTTTAAATAATTTTAACTTAAATTGATATGCAGAAGATGTTCTTTATTGCTTTTCTACCATATAAAGCTACTTTTAATGTTCAAAAGCATGTACAAAATTTGTTGATGCTTGTTGACGCTTGTTGGCGCTTGTTGACGCAGTTTAGTAGGACCGATAAAAAGCTCTTGGTAGCACTCTCTTATCTGTGATTTTGTTTGACATCAAACAACCCACCTGTGCCTTGGATTTCTGTGCAAATGTGGGCAGCTGGGGCATCTTCATGTTCTGCTGCTTGTTCTTGGCAGCCTGGTGCTGCTGCAGCTGCTGTAGCTGCTGCGGCGTCAGGTTTAGCGTCGTTGTCTTACCCGACCCAGTGGCCAGGGTAGATAACAGGGTCGGCTGAGAGGCCACGATGCTTGACAGGGTGCCAGTAGCAGCAGGGCTGGAGGTGTTCATGGTCTGGGCTGCAGTCATGGTGGGCGCGCTCAGGCCTTGGATTTGCAAAGACCCGCCTTTTTGGAGGGTCTGGCGAAGCAGGGGCAAACTTTTCTAAATAAGAGAAGAAAAAAATTTGCAATTGAAAATTTGTTAATACGACTGGTCTCATCATCATCAAAAGCAAACTAGCTTTGTGCATACATGCTGTGCCTAACAAAACATGGCAAAAGATTTATTTTTGTCTCAAGCCTGTAAAATACAACAACATTCTGTCAGGGACTGGGATATTTGAAATTAGGGTAGGTAGGCAGGGGATTTTTTTTTTTGGCAAATTTTTTTGTGTGTACGATCATATGGAGGCATCTGTGTGTAGCCAAGGGTAAATGGTAGAAATTGATTAATTTGGGTGGTTTTTTTTTTTAAATCCCCCCCCCCCAAATTAGGGTAGGGGCTGTCAGAATAGGGTAGGTAGGGAAACCGGAAGCAGAAATACATATTTTTTAGGCCTTATGCATATTTCAATTAATGAAAATAGCAGGTGAAGTTTGCAGACTTATCAGCATACAGCAGCTGGATGGGGAACATGTGCGTGATTAAGACAGGTGCATTGTTGCAAGGCATCTATAGAACCATGGTCACAGCGGGTAATGTATGACATCATAAGTAATTCTGGATCCAAAGTATCAATCAAATAAGGGGGCTTTGATATGTTTATCTTTGGGCACAGGTGCAGTGAAGTTGGATGGTAGCAACCAATTTCACAACCAGTTTCCCCTTTGAAGTTGATATCAACATTAAAGGGGAAACTGGTTCTGAATTTGGTTGCTATGGTAACCATGTACATCCTATAGGACTTCTTTGGATACCTTATTGACCCCCAATTAACAGAAAGGAAAACTCACCCAATTTCATGCCAATCGGCAAAAGTGTTCCGAAGCTATTACAATAAGTTTCACAAGGGGGGGGGGGGACATTTTGTTTGCCCCCCCCCCCAGTCCTGATAGGGTTTAATCACAGCCCATTCAGATATTTCCTTAAGCATTCTACTGTGCATTTTAACATGCTTCATCACAGTGTGAAACCTGTTGAATCAAACAGAATCCATCAAGAGAAAGATCAACAAGATCCAACAGTAATTGCCAGATGTAGGATTTTGTAAGATTTAGTTGGGTTTCTTCTAAGGTTTTAGAAGCCAGATTGGATGGATACCTTCAGGAAGGGTATAAGGTAGGGCTGAGGGGAGGACTTCAATTCCTTCTGAAGCTTGGAGGTGAACTCTTCTGGCTCTGTCTTACCGTCCTGTTAAAAAAATATATTTAAAAAAAAAAAAGATAGAAAAAAAAATCCATTACTCAAAATCAATGCTTACTTTTATAACACAATTGCATCATGGACTAAAATTCCTTGGACATTCACTTGATTCTACCAATCTCCAATCAGTGGTGAGTGAACCTGAGGCAAGGGACATGTGTTCTCAAGACCTATAGTCATGCTCCCCTTATGCCACCCCCTTCCCCCACCGGCACCCCAGCTAGAATTCAAAAAGCTAAAAGGACAAGCCAGTCCCTCTAAAAAAACACATTTTTGGTTTAAAACCCATTTGTGCCCCTCCCTGGAAAATATCTACTTAGCCCCCTGCCTAATGCCCTGCTAATAGGACCCTAGTTATGCCACCAAACCCAGCATTTCAAACGACACTTTCTCTGTGCTAAAACCAACTTGTTAAGATATGCAGTGCCATATAAAACTTTGGATAGTTGATTGGTACTGTGAATGCACAAAAGCACATGTACCAAATAGTTCAGTTATGATGATAACAATGGAATTGTACAAACTTTCAGCAATATGAAAACTCACGATCAGATTTTGCACCAGTTCTTTGACGTTCTTGACAGTTTCTGCCGGTTGGTTGCCATTGGATGCCAGCTTGATCAGAGTCGTCAGAAAGTTCCGACACTTTTTGACGTTCTCCATGGCTGACTGGGACATGGGTATAGGCTGGGGCTGAGCACCCCCTACGACAGGTTGTCCAACGATTGGGGTACCACCAGCCGCTCGCTGTATGGGGACAGACCCACTTGTTGAAACGCCTACCATTTTGGACATGGTCCCTTGCACCCCTTGGCTGCTCATACTAACGGAGGGGGATCCTGGGGCGCCACCCACCACAATGGGCGTGGCTCCCTTCAGCTGACTGATGGTTGCATTGGTTGTGTTCATGAGTTGGCCCATGTTGGGTCGTATGCTAGACTGGACGACAGTGGTGGGCTGGGGACTAGGTCTTTGTAATGTAGTGGAGCCAGGCTATAAAATAAAAAGTGGGAATGATTGCTTTAAATAACTTAATTATTTCACAATATCTACTATTTCTTATCATCTGAATTAAAACAAAATAATTTCTAGGTAATTAACTCAGGTTATTTCTGCATTTACAAATGTAAATAAAGAAGCTTGTGCTAAAACCTATGCTGCCAGGTGCTGAAAGTGCCAAGTGCCTTCCATTATTAGACACGTGCATGTTTAATTCAGGCTCCATAATAATTTTACACTAAGTAAACCCACGACACTGAACCAAGGCTCATAGATATGATGGAGTGTGGTTGCAAATAAACAAAACAAAAAAAGATGAACAATCAGAATCAGTTATAAAATTAATATTTTACAATCAAATATATTGGGACTATAAAATATCATAACAATTTATTAAAATAACAGTACGTGTCTGGTCCCTGGACTCTTACATAGCAATGAAATCAGTGGTTCAACATACATACCTGCACCTGTCTATACGTAACAGCCCCAGGAACTGTCCCACTTGGTAAATGTTGTATTTGTCCCCCAGGTCCAATTGAACTGTTCACTACAGCATGAATGTTACCATCTTTGTTTATCAACATAACGCCGGGAGGTAATGATGTACCCTGGGGTAGACGAAACTGTACAGCTGTTCCTCCTGGGGTCCTGGGAGCAATAACTTGTGGGGATGCCAATCTCACTTGTTGTACCTGAGGGCTCGCAGTGATAACATTATGCATTCCGGAAGTTACACCAATTGGCAACTTCACTTGGGATACGGTCGTGGCTGCAATTGTGACAACCGAACTGCTGGAAGCATTGGACTTAATAATGTTAGGAGATTGGACTTGTAACGTAGGCGCAGGCCGTAGAACTATCTGGGGCTGCGTGGTGCTTGTGTTCACATTTGAGACCGTTTGGTGAGGTGTCGGTGCTACGATGGCTGTTTTAATTGGTTGCTTTGCTGTGCTTGTCAAATGTTCCCTAATCGAGAGACTCCCAGCATGCCCAGCTACAGTATTTTGTGCTGATGCTTGCGCTGTATTGACCTGCTTCTGTCCACTGATTCCTGTACTTGGTGATGAGCCTGAACTTAAGACACTACTTGTTACTGTTGTCAAAGCCAGACCAGTTTGTGTTACGTCTGCAGTTTTTCCCTGCTGTTGCACATTAATTCCCACAGTTTTCACAACAGTTCTTGCATTTGACTCCAGCACAGCACTTTTAACAGCGTTATTGTTGGATGAATTTCTACCTGCAATGCCCGCTGGAGTTGTAGTAAAGACAGTTCCACCCATAGTGGCCGGTAATGTGATGACTCGAACACACGTTGTTGGAGTGGGAACCGACGAAGTAGTTAGTTTGCCACCGCCGGGGCTGCTCGGCGTGCTCGCACTGTTGAGGGCAATCGCAGCACAATTGCCGTCCCGAACTGCCACCCCCGTACTTGGTTTTGATTCGTTACTGTTCTGGACAGCAGCAGTAGTTCCTGAAGCAGTGGGGGCAAGGTTATCGAGGGCTTTACTGTTGCCGGAGGAGGGCTGTTGCGACGCGGCCGTGACCACGACAGGGACCGTGGCGACCGCGCTCGGCCCATCTTGGCCCGCGTTGATTTGCGAGGCGTTCGGGTGCGTCGAATTCCCGGTCCCGTCTCCCGAAGTAACACCGGGTTTACTCACATGATTCGAACCAACGGAGGCAGTATCGAGTGAACTGGAAGTTGGTACAGTATTTCCAGCGGCCAATTTTGACTCTAGTGATCCAATCAGTGCGCTTACTGCTGTTTCGTCGACCACAGACGAGAGAATATCTTCGATGGACGTTGTGCCCGCCATCTTTACCCCGCGATGGCATAAAAGATAATGAAACAGCGCATGCGCAAAGATAATATTATGGGATGTGGCTGCAATTAGAGGGCGCTAGACATAATTACTGGTGGCTAAACCTTTTGGGTTAAGGTTAGGCAGTACGGTAGTCTATGGAATAAAATGCATATTCGAGTCTGCACAGGTAACATCAGATCCTCAAACGAAAGGCCTACGGTACGGAAGCAATTTAAAACAACGCATGTAAATTATTTTGAACGCTAAACTTTAAAAAAAAATTCTTCTGGTTCATCTGCGGTGACTGCATATAAGACCTAATTTGAAATTAAAGAAGTGACTGTGTTCTCTGCGAAATCTACTGCAGTAATTTGAACTTGTTAACACGGTTGTCGTAATAGAATCACCTGACCTGAGAAGTGCATTCTTTTGTTTCGAGTGAATGTTCCCTTTTTGTTTGATTCGTTCGCATCAATTATAGCAAGAGTAAGTTTAAGCGTATTTTTCGCTATAACGTAAAGTAATCGAAATCTGAATAAAAACAAATCCACTTCTTTTACATGTATTTTGGCTTTACAGACCGGACTTGAAATTTTCGAATTATTCCATTTAGTCGCGCAAGTAAATATAGTTAATGTCTCTGAGCGTATTCCACACTAGAAATTCGTGATAAGACTAGAACAATAAAGGAACCCACAATGTAGGATTTGATCGCGGTCTTATTTTTTCTCCTAATTTTGTGTTGTCATTATATAACATTCCTAAACAAAAATCAAATTCCGAGTTCACTGTACACTAAGCATTGCATGGAAGAAGAAAGGCTGCCAAGGCTTGTGCGAGGAAAAGGACACGAATTATAAATTTATCAATTTCTGCCCTACTTATTTCAAGTTTCAAATACACCTGGGGCCTACTTTAAAAAGCCGTATTGAACTGTGTCCTGAATGGACAGCTAATTTGGGAGCACTAAACGTTTGTGTACATGATACATCCCGACTGAGGACAGTAAAAACAAAAGAGAACCGATCCATTATTGTCCCCGAAGGGCGATCATTCTGTTGTTTGGAGCAGTCCTCACTCGTGTATGCTTAGTCTATTTATGTTATATTTTTGAAACAATAAGAAACACAATGCCCAGTCGAGCCTCGAACGTAAAGTACGATGGTGTGTTGCATTCGTGTGTTATATAGATGCCTGTAATTGGGGAGGGGGGGGGGGTATTTTGATCATTAGGCCTAGCAGCTGCCACAAAGCTGCGACCAGGGTGACCGTTTTAGCCGATTTTCGGCTAACTTTGACAGATTTTTTGTTAAAAAACGAGTTTGAAAGAAACTTTGACAGAATGGATATTTTTGGCAGATTTCTGGCAGAATTCTGCAAAAATATAAACAGAAATCCATAGCAAATTTGAAAAAAAATTGTACATTTGTTTAAAAAATCCTTGCATAATGGGACAGGTTGGCTGGTCTAGGGGGTTACTGGGAACCTGACTTCACGCCGCAACCACGTTTTGCCTGAAAATATACCCAATAATGTTATAACATCTTTATGTGACTATAGATTGTTAATAATGTAATTTGAACCTTAATTAAGGCAGTACTACAAATCTGCATGTAATTTTAAGGGGTTTTAGTGTATTTCGCGGAAATCTGGGGAATTTGGCAGATTTTTGATAAATCTGACAGATTTTTGAAGCGCATTTAGCAGAATTTACGGTCCTTACGGTCACCCTGGCCGCGACCATAACTATAAAGGTGTCCCATGCAGGCCATTACCCAATAGACACAGAAGGCACTGTGCCTCTAGGGCCTACGAAACACTTAATCCGGGCCTGGTCCCATGAGTATTTGGCCATGTTCCCGGCCGGATTCGTGTATAATTGCTGGTACTATTTGGTAAATTGGCAAGCACATTCACTAACGTCTGAATGTAGCAACGGGATAGCGCCACCATTCTTTCTGAGAAATTCAGGCAAACTTAGACTCACAAGGAAGGACATATCATACTAACAACTACACATTGCACCGGACGTCACATCTGAAGGCGGCCGCACAAAACTGCCCTCGGTGAAGGCGCATCGTGTAAGGGGTATCTCATACATTGCGCATGGGTAAACTGCATAATAATTCCAAAATGTTTACTGAGTTGAAATAATTATGCTTATTGTCTTGCTTGTCCATGCGCTATGAATTGAGACTCTTTCCGATTCTGTAACCCCCAAAGTCGCGGATTATGACATATTCTTGGTGAACGACGGGACAAATCAGGGAATGCCTTTTTCCCCTTTGAGACTTGGCAAAATCGAGGCAGGGTAGGTGTTTGGTGTATAATTTTCATTTCAGTTGAAAATGGGCAAAATGTCGCCGGTGGAAAGCAAGTTTCCCAGCCCAAATTTATTTTCCCCCTCTTTTTATTTTAATCTAACCTTCATCTGAGACTCGAAGAGGCTTATCTTGTGGATAGCGGAAGCCCGCTCACTGCATATTTGAGAAACTATTGTATCATCCTCTGAGATGGGATTATCATCCTCTGAGATGGGATTAAGATTTCACGTCCCACTTCCGTGCACGCTCGCCGTTCCCAACGGTTACACCCCTATTTTCCGACACCCCTCTGTTCCGTCGACACCCCTCTGTTCCGACTGCACATATTCCTATTCCTAACCCTAACCCTAACCCTAACCGAGTAACCCAACCCTCAACGGGAGTAACACAATCTTACGTGCGGGTTGGCGGAACATCTATAGGGGTGTAGGAACATTGAGCAGTCACCCTTCCCAACATGCATCCACTACGCGCAAAATGTAGGACTAGTACATGTACACATGCAGGATCAGACACCTATTAAAAAGATGAAGACTGCCCTCACTTGTTCTGATTGTTAATTGTAATGCTTGCGAGTGAAGTGGTCTCACTCTCAGTATACCGTCCCACTGAAATTAAGCATTTCTCTGCGAGTCAGGCCGATAAAATGTTGTGCCTGGCAAGGTGCCAAATCTTTCGACGGCCCCGTTTTCAAAGAATTTCAGGTAAATTGAAGAAACGCCAATATAATCTTAAAACTTAATTTTTCATGAAATAATAAGATCTCCAGACTCGCTAGAACTAAGCGATCTTACAGACAATTTCAATATTACTTAGTTTATTAATACAATTGTAGTTTCAGAAAACCTACAAAAATATGATCGAAGTGTTTAATAGAATGAATTTCAATGAATCTCTGAGTACCTCCGTGTTCCCTTTTGAAGCTAGCTGTTTATGAAAAGGTTCTGAATATTCTAGAATAGCGCTTAATGACCAGCTCTTGGATCATGCTTTTATGGAATCAGTTCCCACATGATGACCGGGATTACGATCCAATGGAAAGAATGTTCCAAAGATCAAATTGAAACAAAGCCTTCTAGACTATCAAAGGAAGTTAAAAAATATTACAATAATATAATACAAACAAAAGAGGTCAGTCGGCTATTGAGCAACCTCGTCCCCAGGGTGTCGAGCAGTACGCGCCCGCCACTACCTGCTCTCTCACCCTGGTATTGGATCATTTGCATGTGCAAGATTTTTGCACACGTATGCAAATGAGAACAGTCTGGTGCCTGGATATGCGTTACACATTAGCGTTTGTTTTTGTATGCGGTGTCTGGGGTAAAAACAGAGTCAATTCGTAGCAGCGCGAGCACGGCGTGAGTTACGAAAACACGATTTTTGAAATCAAACTGTAACGATCTTATCAAGACAACATGCAGTATCATATTTCATATTAATATGAGCAAATTGGAAAGGAAATTAGTATTTTCGAGAAGGCGTGGACGAATGATAGCGAAAACACGTACTGCACGTTGTGAATATATAGCACCAAGTACACGATAAAAATCCATTACTAGCCAATTGCGGTATCCAATCAGGATACAAGAAGAAAGTTTCCTATCCAGGGTTTACTATTGGAAACGCGGTTGGAAATAAAGTAAGCACTGGGGACGAGGTTGGCTATTGAGTAATAATTTTACTAGTATAAAATTATGTCTGGAAAGTACTGACAAGCTGTTACTCAGCTGTATAAATAACACGAAAATAAACACGCGTACATGAACAGCGCCCTTAAGCGTCGGATGATGTGTCCCCCCCCCCCCCCCACCACCACTAAAGCCCAACCCCTGCTTGCACTTTGAATTTTTTATGGTCAGCCGCCGGATGGAAAATTACCAGAAAAAAAGTCAGGTAAAGCCCAGAAGATTTAGAAAAGGAACACAATTTCGCTACGTTATTTCCGCTGCATTATGAAGAACACTTTTCGTTTGCACGTCGACTCGTAATTTGAGTGAACAACAGCTATAGAGAGGCAAATCTCCGATCAAGGCCATGCGATACACATAATTCCCGCTAACACGCCGGGACAATCTTTCTCTGCATCAACCGACGATTCAGTCTCTTCTCGCTTGACGCGCGCTGAAAGGGACTGACATTTGAAATGAAATTACGATTCCCGCATTTTCTCACCCAACACAATCAATATGTAACTCGCTTTTTTGCAGGACCTGTAATAACTCTTTCAATTTTCATTTTGATGTGAAGAAATGTTATTGATTTTCTTACTGGATATCCTCCATTGTTGAAACGAAGAGATGTTTTTGTGTGATGATGTGGCAAAATGTTTACAGCGTTGTGGAGTTGTGTAAGCTTCCTATAGGCCTAATATGCAGTTAAGCTGACGTCTGTATGTCCATTCGGTTCGGTGAGGTATAACACTAAAAGATGTACTATCTGTGTTATTTTTTTTCTCGAGATTTTTTGTTAACTGATATCAATAGTTATCTCCTTTTGAATGAGACACTGGGCACACGTTCAGCTATGGAATAATGACTTTACATATTTCCAATTATTTTCAGCAGGACAAATATACTTCAGTTCTGAAGGGTAGACTGGTTCCTGGCCCTATCAAAATGTTTAATTGAGTTGCAGATGCCGAAAATAGGGGGGGGGGACGTTAAAATAAACCATATTAGTTGAAAATTC